CTCTCTCTCTCTCTCTCTCTCTCTCTCTCTCTCTCTCTCTCTCTCTCACTCACTCTCTCTCTCACTCACTCTCTTTCTCTCGCTCTCTATCTATCTATCTATCTATCTCTTTCCCTCTCTGTTTAACAAAGACCATCGCAGTGTAAAACGCCTAAGAGTTCCTTTTTTCAGGTTTGTTTCAAAACCGATGCTCCCATGCTTTGCATTTCAATCTTTATAGAACCACCAAACCCATCTATTAGAAAACATAGCGCATGAAGAACAAGGCCACGCAAATCATAGATTTACCACAGGATAATAGGATGTTCAAGTGACGTTGAAATTAACCAGAAAAGTAAACGGGCGGGTATTCTCTCAAAACACTCTTCTAAAAGGTAGAAAGACAAAACAAACGTTAATTTCCGGAAACTTGTCATCTTCTTCTTCAACAATGCGGAAATTTTACTTTGTTGAGATGATAGTTTTGAGATTTCGCTCCTAAAACAATAGAATAAATACTGTGGCAAGCTAGTGCTGGGTTTGTCGTCATAGATGGAGCCTACTTAAATAACTTTTGTTTTGATTTTCAACAATTTTATAATTCTCTTCAATGTTCTCATATTTACTTAAAACTTTTTTTTTAAATAATTGGAATATTTTTTAAGAAAATAATTTTTGCCAAAAGAAAAAGCTATTAATTATTGTTTGGAAAATCGCTACCAGTATGTCCGACACCGGGCAAGAACGCAATTCGAATTCGAAATCCAATCTAATCGAAGTGCAGCATGTGGGCGTTACAGCCAAATTGCAATCACCTCTTAAAAATCTGATGCACACCTATTGCTCATCGACCGAAACGGACAACGACCGTCTCCTATACAATCACAATAGCAATGCAAAATACAATAAATTTAGCAATGAAAAGTTGAACGTAGAAACCGATAGCACATCGACCGATCACTCGAAGGTCTTATACGAATTGAAGGCACTACGGAGTGAGACCAAGTTAAAGAAGAATCAAAAGTTGACGCCCTCGAAAATAGAATTTCAATTATATACGAAATCGAATGCTAAACGTATGAAAAAAGGGAAAAAAAATTATATGAAGAAAAAGAAGTCGCAACGTAAACTTTTCAGTAATGAATCGAAAACAAAATGTCACACGGAATCGTCGAC